TCCATTGCACACGCAGTGGCCTGCCTACTCCTCCCCTGGGTACTGACACCTTTACCCAGGGAGACCAATTACAGCTGGGTGTTGTGGTGGTGACTCCAGTCACCGTCTACCCTTCCACTTGCCCTGGGACCAGGACATCTGTTCTGGGAAGGGCTGAGGGGCTGAGCGGGTCTAGCCCTTCACTTACTGGTGAGGAAGTGCAAGTTCATGGACCAGGGCACTGGGCGAGTAGGGGTAGGTCCAGGACCAGGACCTCCTCCTAACCCGACGTTCTGTCTGCTTAAAACGGGGCTTTTCTCTACTGCTTCTGCACCTGGGCACTCTTAAAACTACACATTGTCAGTATTTTCCCCAATAATCAGGCGTATTTCTTGGATGAGCAATTTAAATGTATCTTGCCTCTCAAGCGACATTTTCAAAATTGCAGGTGCTTATACACTTTCACACATCTAGGAATTTATCCTACAGATGTGTTAGCCTGTGTACAAAATGACTTATTTGCAAGGTTTGTCATTACTGCCTTATTCGTGATAGGAAAAGATCGCAGGTAACCTAAGTGTCCATCAGTAGGGGCCAGGAACAAATTTTGGTCCCTCCGAACCATGGAATACTGTGCAGCCATACAAAGTAACCCGGAGACTCCACGTCCAGACACGGGATAACCTCCAAGGTGGAGCGCTGTGAGACGTGCGGGGGCCTGGGCTGCCGCCCTCCGTGTGACAGTAAAGCGCGTTTGATCGTGTTTGTACCCAGGGCCTCTAGGGAGTCACGAGAAGTGATTGTGTACCTCTGGGATGGGGGCTGGTGCTGAGAGACTGTTCACTAGAGACCCTTTGTACCTTTTGAGTACCAGTCATATGAATATATTTTTAAAAAATTAAATAAACAAAGACCATAAGAAATGTATACTCACCTGTTGCCCAGTGCAGGAAGGTCAAAGTTCTGGCCTGGCCACCCCCTCAAGGCCCAGGTATCCTGACTCAGGCCCCTGACCACCATCTAATCAAAAATGTGTCCTTGGGTCTCACAAAGGGGACTGGCTATGAGGGTTTGGGCGTTTCTTGGTTAATAGGACCCCAGTCCCAGCCCTGGAGAAATGGAGCCACCCCCCTCGGCCCCTCTGAAACACTCCTGTCGACTGACTTGTCATTTTAAGTCCCTGCTGACCTCTGAAACCTAGAGCTTCCCCGCTGACAGCAACATTTAAGTCAGACTCAGCCCTGGGCAGCCCAGGCCCTCTTTCCTGGACCTCTTCTTAAGCCACACTTGACTGGTTGCTCTTTCCTCTGTGTACCTCCTTGACTCTTGACCTCCCACCTCCATGCCTTTGCTCACGTGCCCAGATCCTATCCTCTGTTCAAGACCCAGCTCCGTTTCCACCTCTGCGTGGCCCTGTGACCTCCCCCGCTCCTTTATCTTTTCCTCTCTGCTGTCACTTAAGCTGATTTACATTGTGTCCTAGGTGTCTGATTCCCACTGGGATGTGGGCTTCTTTGGGGCTAAGTCCACGTCAGGCTCCCAACTCCAGATTTGTTAGACTTTTGCCCAGTGGGTGAACGGTGGCTGCCCTCTTCCTGGTGGGATTGGAAGCTGCAGGGGGCAGAGCCCGTCTCACATTTGTGAACCCCAGTGCCTGGC